TTTGGTGTTTCTTCTTAAACTAAGGGGTCAAATCCCTCTTAATGTGGAGCTTATTCATTCAAGAAATGCATAGGCCATCTATTAATTGCATGTGAATTTTAAGAACTTAAAGAGGACAAAATCCTCGATTTGAAGTCAAAGAAAAAGATTTTGAATAACCTAGAACTAGTTTTTTAATCGACCAAGTCGGCAATTGCTCATATAAAAAAACATTAATAAAATTTTCCTCGTAGACTTGAAAGAAAGAGAAATTTATATAAATACGCCTCGTGTTAGCAAAGGAATCTCCCAATGTTTTATTTTATACGTGTAACTTCTTTTGAATTGCCACTACTCCAATCATCAACATCCGAATAAGAAATCCATTATGATCTCATACATTTTCTTCTCTATTTTTTTTCATTTTATACTCTTTATATATGTTCTTGATTTGTAAAATTCATAATTCAAAATTAAATATGACTACGGATCTTGAAGATTCTAAACAGTGACAAACTTGACAATAAAAATAATTGAGGAGAAAGGGGGTAGATAGAGCCCGACTTTGGATCTTAATTATCAAAAATTTGACAATAAAAATAATTGAGGAGAAAGGGGGTAGATAGAGCCCGACTTTGGATCTTAATTATCAAAAATTACGAGATGGCTTTCTCACTTTGGATACGGTAAGGCTGAAGTGGTATCTATTTCAAAATTCAAAAAAATAAAAAAGGATAAAAAAAGGAAGTAGAGTTATCAAAACAAATTTGCCCCCCCACATGAATGTTTTTTTGGGATAAGGGTTTTGGTCAATTGAGTTCTTTCAAATCATATAGAAAAATAGGTGATGTCCAACAAACTATCTTTTATCTCAAGTTTTTTTTTTTTTCGAATTAAATCATCTTAAATTTAGGTCTCATGAAATGTTTTTGGCAAAGTTTTACATTAGCTATCTACCTAACACAACCCACATCATTTATCCATATTTGGGATGGGTTAAGGAAAAGTTTAAGGACCGTACCTTCTTAGACCATTCTCTTCAAGCGAAATAAAAAATTAAGATTGATTTACATACAAACCATAAAATATTTTTTAAAATACAAAATGTTTCGTTTATAGGTAGAAATGACAAAGAAGGTAGGTCAACTTGGTTTTTGTGTTTTTCAAAATTGCCTTTGGATCTGAGGATGGAATCCTCAGCCCAAATTTTATTTTATTTTATTTTTGTTAGTTTTTTCGTTAGTAGGGAAGTGCCTCAAACTTTAAGGTAGTGACCTACTAATGAAAAAACTAAAAAATATTAAATTAGATTCGATCCAAGGATGTCCTCGGAATGAGGAAATATTTTGAAAAAAATTTTAGGGTCCGTCACGTAAATCACTCAAAAATCAAATATAGGAATATGCAGACTAGCCCTTAGTCAAGGATTTTAACCAACTCAACATCCTTGTAAATACGAACATATAGTGACCAACTTGTGGTCGTTATAGAATAAATTTCTAAATACGTTTGCTTTCTCCTATAGAACAACACTTCTTGAATGCCCCAAATCCAGTTATAAACTGTGAATCAGAGTTTAAAATGTTGTTTTAATTGGAAATCAAGTATATAAAGAAACTTAACATATTTATTTTTTGTTTCTTTTGGCTAAGTCATAGGGATTGAGCTTAGAACGTAGCATTGCAAATCGTCAAGCGCTAACCAATTAAACCCGCGCTTTGACAACTACTTAAGACAATTTCAATTGTCCTTGTGTCACAAGCCTGTCCAAATTGTTGATTGAGGACCCTCCTTCAATGGCATTCTCTGCAAGCTCCTTCCACTTCATGGCCATCTTTCTCATCTCCTTCCCCTTATCTCCCTGCAACAACTCCTTCACATGAGCCTCAACCTCCTCTCTCTTCACATTGTTGTCGATCTCTATGCCGATTCCCCAGACTGCACATGCCAAATAGCAATTTGTCTGTTGGTCCGCAAAAAATGGCCAACATATCATGGGAACGCCATTACAAATGCTCTCCATTGTCGAATTCCACCCGCTATGTGTCAGAAATCCTCCAATTGCTCGGTGCCCAAGAACTTGCTCTTGGTTGCACCAAGTCGCGACTATCCCCCTCTCCTTGGTCTCCTCTGCAAATCCTTGTGGCAATCTTGCACCCTCCTCCCTCACTAGGTCGGGCCTAATGACCCACAAGAATGGCATCTTGCTATTTGCAAGGCCCCAAGCAAACTCCTCAAGTTGCTTTGATGTCACCACTGTGATGCTGCCGAAGTTCACATACAGCACAGACTGTGGCTGCTTGTTGTCGAGCCACTCGAGACATGAAGTGTCTTCTATCCATAAGTTGGACTCTATTGAATGTAGCTTTGGATCGGAGATCTTGCGACTGAGTGTGTGCAAGGGACCTATTGTGTATATCGATGGCACTCTGGAGCATAGAATTTTGAGAATTGTTGCTTCTAAGTGATCAAAGGTGTTGATGATCATTGCAGAGGCAGTGGTGGCCAACTGAGACTCAACTGTGCAGAATTGGAGCATAATGTCATTGGGATCTGTGGTCCGTATTAAGCTGGGCATGTCCCTGAGCCGGATGCCCAGCATTCCATCAATCCAGTCTAGAGGAGTCTCAAGGTACCCATTGTTAAGTTGGCTTTCATCTGTGGGAAACAAAGGACACTTCTCATTGATTAAGAAGGTTAATTTTTGTTTGCCACTGCGTTAATGGCAAATCCTGTTTTCTTTGATAATGGGGGGTCGTGGTGGTAGCACTATTTGTGCCCCAGCTAATGTTTACGCTTCCATTCTCACTTAATGCATTCAAAATATGGAAACATGAAGTTGGTAGAATTCTTTAAATTTGTATACATATGAAAAGGATTTGGGAAAGGACTTGTGAAGAAGGTATCTGAAAGTTAGTTTCTTTATTGTAATTGAGTCAATTTTACTAAGAAAAGGCTTTCAATGCAAAACAAGTGCGATCAAGCAGATGTTAATGTGAAATAATAAGTTCAATGTTTAGGAGTAAAGTGAAAGTAGGCATTTTGTTTTTCGAAATAAAACTCATCATAATCAAGTTTTAGTGGAACTTTTTAACATTTTTCTTGTTTACGTATTGTCAAGAAATTTGATGATCCTTTTAAAAAAGAAATTTGACCATCTTTGGGATGACAGAGGTTCAAAAGCAAGGGTCCGACTCGGAATTAGGCATATTCCCTAGTCCTAGTAGTCTTTATAGACACAGTCGAGTGTTAGTTCTTCGGCCTGCCCCTTGTGGAGAACCTAATTGGTATTTGATACATTATACATGTTCAAAAGAAAAATATAAAATCTCGTATCATAAAGATTTCTATTTAGAGATAATGATGATTATGAGGAATTCCAATCAAAATTGGAAATAATATCCAACTAGGACAGATGTTGGGCACCGTTATATAATGAAAATTGTAGCAAGATTGAGAAGTAGATTTTTTGGGAGAAGAAAAAGAGGCCTCACAGGTCTCCAGGCCTTTTCCCTCTTCCTTTTTTGTTTGCTCTCTCCTTGGATGCCTAGAAAGGAAGAAGTGCCACCCAAATCCAGCAAATGGGCGGGAATCTTGGTCGTCTATATGAAAACCTCGAGAATTTAGTTGTGCATATTATGATTTTAATTCTCATAACTAAAAGTTGGTATGAGGCTTCAGGTATCCAACTCTTGGCCTAGAGGAACCACCTGCCAAACGAAGGGAAAGTTCGACACCAATCGAACTTATATCTAGAAGATCCTGATGTTTTTACTGTATTTGTATATGCCCAGTGAATCCAACAATGATATCAAAACCCTTTTAATAGTGGTTCTCCTTTCGGATCAGCCGGTGCAGTTTGTCTTTTGAAAATAAAAAAACGGATTGGTTTCTAAGGAGTTCATCGGCTTTTTTTTTTGTCTTTTAGCTTGTTTTCCATGAGATTGGCATCTGAAGCCATGTTAGAAAAACCGGGTGATTTAATCGGTAACTGCTCCGTTAGATCAAAACCGACTAGTGGTTGGTTCCGATTTTGAGTAGTTTCGGTGATTAGTCAGTATTTTTAAAATAAAAATTCAAAAAAATGTATATAAAATCCCAAAAATAAGAAGTTTGGTTTGTAATGTAATTTTTAATATTCTTTGTTTTAAACATTAATACTCACTTTTATATTTTCTCATCTTTTTTTGGATAATTTTAGAAATACCTATAAGCACAAATCGATTCTTTAAAATTCATTTTTTTTATTAATTTTCAACGTCATTCGAATGTGCTTTGTTTAATTATTCTTTATATGCTTTTCATACTTTAGTGGATTTTTTTTTATTTCTTTTTAATTTTTTTCAATAATTTTTTGACCGCTCAAGACTTACCTAGTTAGAACGGTTGAATCGGCCGGTTTATCGATTAGGCCGGTTAAACTGCTTCTAGCCCCTTGTTCAGTTAACCGTTTCGGTTCGATTTTGCGAACACTGATATGAAGGTGTGATAGTAACATTAGGGCATTGAGGCACGAGTAAGAACACAAGGCATGCATGAAATGGGAACAAAATGTGTGTTCCAACATTTAGATACATCTTGGACTACGTAGTTCCTCTTTTTCTTTCCTTTTCTTTTTTTTTTTTTTTTTTTTTGATAATTCAGTGGAGAAAACATACCCTCTTTTCAAATAATTTAGGAGTTTGCTATTTAAAGTTGTTAATGGGGTGATTTATTGAAAACCACAACGTTGTGACTTGGGTGTGTGGGTGGCATGTAGTTATTCCTTGTGGACCTTGAGTGCACCACCGACCACAATAATTGTGATCGTGCATTACGCATGCGTCCACGCACTTTAGACCAAGTGGACCACTGAGGTGGTCCAGCTTGGGACCCATCAGACAATGTATTTCGTGGAACTCTAGTAGTCTCGTGGACCACTTCAAGGAAGTGGTCTTGCTGGACTACACATCATTGTAGTCCAGATCCTCTAGGAGAATAGAAAAGAAAAAAAAAATACACTAATGAGATGGCCACACTTGTGTCATAACACAGTGAGGCCACACATGAGCATAACACGTGTGAGACCACATTTGTGATAGAGACAAAGCTGATCGAAAACCAAATCTTGCATGATCTTTTCAATAGCATCAAATGGCGATCATCAACACCCTAGTCAACAAAATCTGTATCGGTACTGCATCTATAAAGCAAAGGAAAAGTATACAAAGGTAATCTTGACTATTAAAGGGGAAATTGGGTGGCAATTATTGTACCGATCAAGTTCAAAGTTCAAATGAAATTTTTTTGAACTTTATTACACATCCAACCAATTAGATTTCACATTAGATGATTATAAGCAATGGTTTAAAAAACGGATCGATGATCCGGATCGGACATCTCAAAAATCGATCCGGATCGATGCATCGACAATTCGGATCGAAAATCGATCGGATTAAACCTTCAAAAAAATCCGAAAAAATGATTAAAATTCATTATAAATGTTGTTTTTAAAAAATCCAATAAGAAATGAGGGTACTACATTATTAACTTTCATTTTCTCATCAATTTGTATATATTGAGATGCTCTTTCCCTGTTTAAACTTAAATACTAAATTTACATCACATAAAAAAAAAATCATAGAATTATCATGGATAAAATATATAATTATACATGGACTATTATAAAGTGTAGACTAATCAATGAAAGAATGGCCATTAAAATCTCGTTTTGGCGAAAAACCCTAATCTGCTAAAAAAACCCAAATTATTACAGCCTAACTAACTATAATCCAAAATTATTACAACCTAACTAATTATAATATTATATAATGAAATTATAATTATTAATTTACATTTTATAATTATTTATTAAAAAAATAATAACAAATTAAAAATATTTTAGAATATTATCTAATTGAAAAGTGATTAAAAAATTATTAGAAGAGGCTTCCATATCATATGACTAAAATTAAAAATAAAACCACCAATAAATTCTAATATAATTATATTAAAATTTCAAACTAACTTTATCCAAAAAAATGAAAAATAAAGACCTAAAATTCAAAAAAAAATCCTATCGACAATATGCACAATAGCTAAAAAAAAATAAAAATAAAATAATATATTGTAATAAAACCCATCGAAAAAACTATTTTACTAATAAACATCAAAAAAATTTATATGGCTATTTTTTAATTTGACACACTAAATTAATGAGTGCTATTATTTTTTTTTTAATTTTATATAGCCGTTTATTAGTGCTATTAATTTGACATGCTAAATTAAAACGCTACACATATGGGCAATGGCTTGCAAAAGTTAATGGCTTGGAAAAATTATATGGTCGTTTATTAGGTAATGGCTTGTGTGACGATGGCTTGCACGCTGTTAAAGGCAAATGGGAATTGTCCCACATCGGAAATATCAAGCGACTTCCAAGTTTATAAAAAATGTGAAGATGAGCTTTTTAACAGCGTGCGAACGAACGGTACATGGGGTAACACATGATTGCATGTGAATGACAATGTCGAAAATTTCCTTTATTTCTAAGAAAAATATCCCAATTACCTTTGGAAACGTCATACATGCCGAGACATGACGTCACCATCCGAGTCTATACAGTGATTCGGCCGGAATTGCCGATTCTCTTCTAGAAGCGAGCGATGTGCAAAAATATTGAGGCAACCTTGCACGTGCGCACGTGTGAGTGCGCACGGACTAACGAGAGTACTTGCCTGAACCGGATGGGAACCGGCGGTTCTACTCTAAGACCAGGCGGTTCCCGGTTTTATGATGGAACCAGCACGAGCTGTGCCAGTTCCCAAGTCAAACCGGGCGAGTCCGATCCGACTCGCCGATTTTTAAAACGCTGGTTATAAGTAATTGGGACCTCCTAGTGTAAAAGGTAAATTGTCTCATTGCCTACAATCCCAAACAATTAACCTTACTATTAAGCTAAATCATTTTATGCTCCCATACGAGCATATTGTCAATTTATTTCATGAGGTAAAACCCACTTATAAAAGTAATTTTAGGACCCCAAATTTTTGGTATGTAAACTTTTTGACCATAGATTAACCCTAGGATTAAAACAAAAAAATTATTTGAATTGAACTCGCTATGTACTAATAATAATAATAATAATAATAATAATAATAATAATAATAATAATAATAATAATAATAATAATAATAATAATAATA